TTACTTGTGTTCATTCATTTTTCAACCAACATCTGCTGAGTGACACCACATGCCTGAAAGAGTAGTGGATGTCAAGTCTAGGACAAGAAAGCCACAGTCCCACCCAATCCTTGAAAAGATCTGAGTCAGGACTGGAGAGCATGAAGAGGAACTGCAAGGTGGCTGGTCTTGGAACACAGGAATTTGGTAGGCAGGCTTGATTTTTGATAGAACTAAAACCCTCAAGGTGAATGTGATTTAGAAATGTAGGCTTGAGGTCAGATCAGGAGGTTAAATACTTCTTAACTCTGTAAGCAGGATATCTGGATGACAAGGACTTACTGGTTGAGCTGGTAGACTCTGCATTTCAGGGCTCTTTCAATAAGGCAGGCAGGAAGCCTTGGTCACTCATTGACTGGTCTCTTCCTGTCCTTCCTGTGCTGTGCTTTTGAATTGTCAGCTCTTCTTTGGAATGCTCAACCAAGGGCAGTGTTGTGGGAGATGATTTATGGTACCCCCACCCCAATCGTATGTTGAAGCTTAATCCAGATCTGGGATTTCCCCGTGTGTGCTTGTTGTTCAAGTCATCCAGTCTCAGCCTTTACACCATGGTCCTCACCCTGCATGACATCACTGCTCTGGCTGGCCATGCTGGTGACCACACGTTTCCCCTTTGTCCCTCCACCTGCTGCTGCTCACCTCAAAATACCTCACTGCCCTCAGGCTGTGATCTTGGCCCCTTTATCCCTGTGTGAGAAATTCCATTGCATTGTGTTGCTTTAGTCAAAATACCTAGATAAGCTGGGCGTGGTGGTGCACGCCTGAAATCCCAGCACTCCGAAGCTGAGGCAGGAGGATTGCTGTGAGTTCCAGACCAGCCTGGACTACACAGTGAGTTCCAGGTCAGTCTCAACTACATAGTGAGAGCTGTTTTAAAAACAACAACAACAACAACAACAACAACAACAACAACAACAACAACAAAAACCCCTAGATAAGCTTTTGTTTCCTGGCTAAATTTTAAGTGATTCAAAGCCCCAGACACATGTAATCAATTGGAAATTATTGTCTAGGTCACCTTCTTTTGCTGGTCAATATAACTCTGAGGTCTCTCTGCTCTTTTCATTCACAAGAAGAGAGCTAGAACACTAGCCCGTCTCCATAAACCCCCTCAGGGTTGGCATCTACTGCATGATTGACTGAGGTGACTTCTCCCTTCTCATCTGTTTTTGAAAACAATGAAGCCAGCAAGTCAAAGACCTGACTGAGAAGCTGTAATGTGAGGACTGTTTTAGATTATCCATTTTTTGGGACAGGGGAAAAGTAAAGGTGTATGAATTATTCGAGTGCACAACTACATTACTTTTCTCATCTGGGAATGGTAGTACATAACTCATTTTCAGTAAGTAAAAATGGAAGAATTAATGCCCCACAAGATGTGCAAGGTTCATGGGAATATTGGGGAGGCAGAGACAAATTCTTCAGGAGTATAAACAAAGCTTTTCTCACCTTACCCCACAGCAACTGCCACTTCTCTAAAATAGTGCTTTTTCTGCTTCCCACTGTCTAATTAGATACCTCTGGCTAATTAAATCCAGAGGGAGGAGGCCAACCATGCCTTCAGAGTCACTACTTCCTTTTAGGAGGCGATAGTAGATTGAATAACATGGTTATATAATGGGCAACACCATTATATAACTCAAGTGTGATTGAGTGAAGCGCCGTTGACTTGCTGTCCTTGTGTGGCTACTGATGACAGCAGAGTGTACTGTTAGAATTGCTGGAAAGGTTAAATGAGACATGCTTATAAAGGGACAGCACAGTACTTGCATACAGTAAGTATGTAGCAGGTGCTGTTTTCATGTTTATCATTGCCATCATCTAATGAGTACTGAGCACGTACTTTGTGCTGAGCATTTGATCTGAGCTTGTTCAAGGTCATAGAACTGTTAAGAAACAGAGCCAGAGCTTGAATTGATCTGTCTGATCCTAATTTATTAAGTCCTGTTATCTGGATTCTTGAATTACTGACAATCACCGGAGAATACATTTAGAAAAGAAATGTATAATAAGAAAGCCTTGAGGATATTACTAATGGCAAATTTATCATGTTGACTAAGAAAAGAAACATTTTTGGATTTGTCCTTTTGGTCAGTGATGTTTCGTGCGTGCTCATTGTGTAAAAAGTGCTCTATAGGGAACGGTGGTCAGAGGACAGGCAAATAAGGCACAGGAGCCCTGTGAATGAAACTGAAGCAGTCTCACGAAACATGAGTTGAATACACATTAACTTCCAGAGGCTGAATGCATTGGAACTTGGGAGATGAGGTGGAGGCTCCTTCCAGTGTTTGTTATATATTTGCTTGGCACAGAAAGATGGGGTTTGTCTCTCACAGATGCCTTAGTTTTGACTCTTCCTACAGGATGGGCTAGAGTAGTTCCTCTACCTCTTTGAGTGTCAGCTCTTTTGTATAAAAAGGAGATAGACCTCACAGAATTGTTGTGAAGCATTAAGCATCACATCTGATATATATTCAATTAAATTTTAATTCGTAAGTATATGATTTTTCAGCATAATGGCAGCATCCCTCCTAGAATGAATAGCCTTCCAGCTTTTAGAAGGCACCTCAGTTTGCCCCCTTCACATAATTTTCTGGTTATCCGGCAAATACACAAGAGGAAATCACATGTAGATGCCACCACAAAATACTCAGAAAATCACCTTTGAGGAAAACCAGTGGTTCCTAGAAAAAACAGTAACACTCATTTTGGAAAAATAAAGCTTTAAAGATTAGTTTCTTGTCCATCCTGCAATTTTGAAGGTTTTTTTCTTTTTCTTTGGTACTAGGGATCAAACTTGGGTCCTTGTGCTTGCAAGGCAGGCGGCAGAACCACTGAGCTAAATCCCCGGCCCCTAAAAGGGTTTTTGATAATTTGGTGAACTGATTAATATGCTGTGCAACCAGAGTCCCTGAAATGCCTTCAAAAAATGAGGTGGATGCAATGGAGGAGAGGGAACAGCTACAGTGGGTGGAGAATTGGGTGGGGGCGCATATGCTCCCTGGGCCTGAGACAGTCTGTAGACAGGTTGAGGACCCAGCCCCAGCTTTCCTGTCCCTGGGGCCTGCTGAGTGTCCACCGTGCCTGCAGTAACTGAACTTGTCTTTCCGCCATTGACCAGAGTTTGGGCCAGGATGCTCTTCAGTTTTTAAAGTAATTTTCCAGAAGAGATTGTCAAAGACAACCAGTGTGAAAAAACAAAGGCCTCATCGCTTGTTAAAATTGCGAGACTTGTTTTAAACTAGTTAATACATTTTATTCTAGAAAGCCCTTTTTTCAATGCCATGACACTGTGCAGTTACTTTGGTGTGACAGCCTTGTGATGAATGTGGCATTTTATGAGTTCTCCAAGGAGCCAGTGTTTGAGAGAGGAAGGTCTAATACCTTTCGAGTCATTGGTATTCATAGCTGGCAGTGCAGGTCCATTTTGTAGTTGAGTGGACTTGGGATTCTGCTAAAAGCAAAACAGTATGGAAAACAAAAACAATGAATCTTAGATCTAATCAGAGGACTGGTTATAGGATTGGAGTCTGGAGGGGTCTGTGTGAGTGCTTTTTCTGCCCCTGGCTATTCCCCTACTGGATAATGGTATTCGCACAAACCAAGGCTTCACAAATATTTGTGTATCTACTCATATGAATACTTAATTTTGATATTACATTGAAATCTTATATCACTGAGCCAGTGATTCTACTGTCCAGCTATCTAAGGCAGTGTACTTATAGAAGGGGAACCCTTGCTTCAGTTGCAAACATATCGATTTATTTATTTATTTATTTTTGTTTTTTTGAGACAGGGTCTCACTATGTAGCTGTGACTGACCCAGAACTCACTATGTAGCCCAGGCTGGTCTCGAATTTAGAGTGATCCTCCTGCCTCAGCTTCCTGAGTGCTGGGATTACAGGCATGTGCCATCACACCCGTCTGCAAACATACCAATTTAGAGTAAAGAGCTCAAGTTTTATTTCTATTTTCTGTTCAGTTCAAAGTGTTGAAATCAGGCTTTATTTTATTTATTTATTTTTTTTAAAAAAGAAGTGAATCATCCTTTGGAAGAAAGGGATGGTACACTGGTCAGAAAGCTGCACATTCATGGATTTTTTTTTTCCTCTGCATCCCAGATGTTAAGACCCTGCTACTGTCTGGCTGGTCAGGGTTTCTGTTAAGTATGGCAGTGATGTGTATGCTCACTTTGGGATGAGGTGAGTAGGCACTGTGGGGCATTAAGGTCTCTTCTCTCTGTGCCACGCCAGTGTCTCTGCTACCACTGCAGTGGGGCCATGATGCTAGGCATGAAGGTTGTACTCACCGCTAACCCAACAGTACCTTGGGGTGGTGCCCGATTTGGGAATAAAATGCTGCCGGAAGTACTTCTTGACACTCCCACCCTGCACAGTTAGGAACCTTGACACATGCAGAAATGGTGCATGGCTCTAGCTCCTGCAGGAACCACCTGAACCATGTCCAGACGTGTGGCTGTGTCCTGAGATGGCGCAGTACCTCTCCTTCCCCCTCATCTCACCCTGCCTCTCATTCTCTGGTGTTCACTCCGAGGCTGGTTCTCTGCCCTTCACTTCTTTCCTTCCTTCTGTTGCCTCTCTCTCCATCTTCACGCTCTTCTGTTCTCATTTTTAGGGCTGAAGGGCCTGCCCAGTAGGGTTCAGTGGCACCTCCTCTCTGATGCTTTTTCGTGGGTTTCTCGGCTTTCTCGACTGTGGTCTGACTTCCCCACTCAGGATGGGGAATGTATTCCTGCTCGGGGAGGATAATGGGGTTTAATGGCTACTCTGTTGAGATTAATTTGACTATAGAAAGGGTGCTCACTGGGCTGCCGAAGACTTTTAAACCCTCATCTTCTTCCACAGAGCCAGAAGGTGGATGGCTTTCAGCAGGAAGCTCTGCTAAGCAGTGGATGTATTCTTTCTCTTTGATGATAAGGATTATTGACTTTCTGATTATAGATTGAGGAAACTCGACTCAACATTGACAAGATCTCAGAACATGTGGAGGAGGCAAAGAAACTCTACAGTATCATTCTCTCTGCACCCATTCCGGAGCCAAGTGAGTGTTTGCTCAGTGGAACCGCCCAGCAATGACCCTTGGCACTGGGGCAGAGCCAGTCTTGGTTTCCTTGCTCTGTGCATGGCAGGGGAGTGTACACACCACCTTGTACGGATGTCCACATCGTGTATCACCTCCTAATACCTGCCACCATCAGCTCTTCTGTTCATGGTCCACTCCATCTACATGGCCAGTTCCCTCTGCTCCCTGCTTCTGTGACTCACGATTCTCTGCTTCTCCCTTACTCCACTCTGTCCCCGTCCTGTGCCTTTGTTTACCATTTCTCTAGACTCAGAACTTTTCTCAGCCTCCTTTCCAAATTTTACCATTCAAATCCACTTTTTTCCTCAACAGAGTGTTCTGCAGTGCTTCAAATGTGCAGGATCCTTCTTTTCTCTAAATTTGCATTTATTACCACTTCTAAGGCAAAGTGTTTCCCCTAATTGTGCCACCTGTTCACTGTAGAGTTTTAGGCGGTATCTCCTGTTCTTTAGAACAAGGAACATGACCAATCCTGTGATTTTACTATTTACTTTCTTCAATGGCTCTTTCTTTTCTTTCTTTTTTAAGATGAAGTTTTATTTTTTTATTTTTTTGGTACTAGGGAGCAAACTTGGGTCCTTCTGTCTGTGAGGCAGGTGGCAGAACCACTGAGCTAAATCCCAGGCCCAATGGCTCTTTATTTCTTAAAGATTAAAGAAATTTGTGTGTGTGTGTGTGTGTGTGTGTGTGTGTGTGTGTGTGTGTG